AGATCGGGCCGTAAAGGGCCGAGTGTGTGCATCGGCTGGTTCTGGAGGCGCCGCGTGTGTACATCAGCTGGCTCTGGGGGCACCGCGTGTGTACCCACGGCCGCCCACCCCCGGGAGACCCTGCACGGAAAGGACACCGGACCGAAGGTCGGGACACTGCATGGCCAGGCGACGCCGCTGGACGCGCTCCCGTCGAGGCGACGGCCTCAGCCGTAATGCGTGGAATAGCACCGCCCACGGCAGCCCTACCCCGCCTCTCCCACGGGATCAAAGCTTTTGCACCCTTGACTCTTTCCCAGTTGTTGTCATGACGGCATTGCTTGAATTAACACGTCATCTTCCTTTTTTCTGGGCCTCCTGGAAAAGCAGAGTTCCTGGGCCCTAGGCTACCAACCAGAGCGCCCCGTCCAGCCAGGGAAGTCAGACCCATCACGGTCGCCTTCATATAAGATTTAACGCGGATTCCTTCCCCAAGAATATGCCATCAGGCCACCCTGAATCGCGGTCATCTTCGTCTAGGCTGTAACGTGGATCCCTTCCCCAGAAGAGGGTGCCTCCTGGCCACCCTGAATCGCAGTCACTTTCGTCTTTGCTTTAACGCGAATCCCTTTGCCAGAAGAGTGTGCCCTCAGGACACCCTGAGTCGCGGTCACCTTCAGCTATGCTTTAACACGGACCCTTCCCCAGAAGACTGTGCCATCAGGCCACCCTGAACTGAGGTCGCCTTCAGCTATGCTTTAACGCAGATCCCTTCCCAGGAAGAGTGTGCCATCAGGCCACCCCGAACTGCAGTCACCTTTGTCTATGCTTCAATGCAGATCTCTTCCCCAGAAGAATGTGCTCCCAGGTCACCCTGAATCACATGACCTTTGTCTATGCTTTAATGCAGAGCCTTCCAGGAACAAAGCGAGATGCCTCATCCATCTTGGAATTCTCCTTCCTTCCTCCCTCCTCCCTGCCCAGCGTCCCTCTCCCCTCTAAGGTGCTGTTCCCAAGGTCTGCACCCAGTCTCCCTTCCTCCAAGCAACAAGACTTCCAAAGTGTGTGCTAGGAATGAGATGGGATGGGAGGAGGATGTGCTGGAGGTAGGACGGGAGAGTCTCAACTAAACTACCTGACTGCAACCAGAAGTAAAATGAAAAGTATAATTATCTGACCTGCGGCTGATCTCAGGGAACTGGCCTAAGACCTGCGCCCTTGATGGGGATTCCAGGGTTTCTAGACTTTCTCCCACTGGACCTCGAAATTTCATCATACAGTGAACAAACTCTTCTTGAGGGATGAAGAAATCAGTCTTTTTTTTTAAATAAAACTTAAAATCCTTAAAATAATAGTCTGTATTATTTTATAAAGCTGCATCAAGTTCCTGGAAGAGCAGCAAAATAAAGGAACACACATCACCGCTTGCTTTGGCAATTACTTTTATGGCCTGAGAAGCCCAAAATATTCCAGCAATATGCTTCCAGCAAAAATCAAAGCACATCCACCCCATGCATGAATTCAGACCAGATGTCTTCCCTAATTGTCCTGGGAGCTCTTGCTGCTTTAATACTTGGTGAATTTCCAGATTATTCACCAGAGAGATGGAAATTAATCCCAAAATGGAATTTTCAGATTTTTCTACTTTATACTAGATAGCCAAAATGACTGGAAACCTCTGCGTTGTGTTCTTAAAGAGTGGAAAGCCAGCCGGGCTCGGTGGCTCAGCCTGTAATCCCACGCCTTTGGGAGGGTGCGGTGAGTGGATTGCCTGAGCCCGCGGGTTCGAGACCCGCCTGGGCAGCAAGATCTCATCACTACAATAAATCAAAAAATCAGCCGGGCGTGGTAGCGCATGCCTGTAATTCCGGCTACTTGGAAGGCTAAGGCAGAAGGATCGCCGGAGCCCAGCAGGTCGAGGTTGCGGTGGCCGGGAGCGGCCACTGCACTCCAGTCTGGGCGACAGAGTGAGACTCCAACTCAAAAAAAAAAAATCAGTGGAAAGCCTGTTGCCGGTGACATCCTAACTGTCGGAAAGATGAGGCAGTCGCCTAAAGGCATACTTGGCACACCCATCTTGGTCTGAGCAGACACCTTTGATCCTTTCCTCAGTCTCGCTTCATCCTTCCATCTTCACCCATCTCTTCCTCCTGATAACTTTCTCTTCGCAAATCATGATACAGGAGACTTTTTATCATTTTTTGTGGCCCCTGAACTTAGTTTTGTCATCTCTTTTCAGTTTTAGTAAAAAGAGGCTCCTCACTTATTCTGCTGCATCTCTCAAACCACAGCTCAGATCTCCCCATAACTCTTCAGAAAGGAGCCCAGGCTACTTCTGTAGTTAAAAGCAGCTAATGACCATTATAAAAATGGCACAAGAAGTCCTCACTGCTTCACAGAGCGCTTCCTCCTGCCGTACTGTGTAGCCAAGAAATACACCTCTGAGGATTCTTTCCTGCTGGCCTCAGGTTTGACAATCTTTGTGTCCTGGAAGTCCTCCATCAGCCTCCTCCGTAACTGATGGCTCTGACTTCCAGCCCAAGTTTTACAAAGGAACGTTCCCCCCGGGTGCAGGATGTCTGGAGCCATGCCCAGAAGGGACAGGCACAGGCTGATGAGCCTGTCATGATCGAGGTTCCTGATCCCTGTGGCATTGGGTGCCATGTCGCTCAGAATCACATCTGCTCTCCCACCAGGAAGCAGTTCTAGGATTCTCTGTAAGGTTCTTGGGTCAGTCACATCAGCAGGGCACAGAAAAGTTGCTCCTTCCAGAGGGAATATGTGAAGAAGATCCACCCCAAGCACGAAGCCAACAGGAGAGCAGGGATCTAAGGAAGAAATGGTGAATATATTATTTATCTACACCCTCGATCTTTCCACAGAAATACAGTACATGGCTGGGCTCGGTGGCTCAGCCTGTAATCCCGCGCTTTGGGAGGCCGAGGTGAGTGGATTGCCTGAGCCTGCAGGATCGAGACCCGTCTAGGCAAATTGGCAAGACCTCATCTCTACAATAAATCAAAAAATTAGCCAGGCGTGGTAGCATGCACCTGTAGTTCCAGCTACTCGGAAGGCTGAGGCGGAAGGATCGCCGGAGCCCAGCAGGTGGAGGCTGTGGTGGCCGGGAGCATGCCACTGCCCTCCGACAGAGCGAGACTCCAACTCAAAAAAAAAAAAAATACAGTACATGCAACGAAATGACAGACAAGAAGTAACTATCCCAGAGTCGTGCCAGGTCACAGGCAGGCCTGGGACCAGACACCAGGACTTCTTACAACAACTCTGACATTATTTTACTACCTGAGGCTCACTATCTGAAAGGGTTCTCATGTTGGAGTATTCTGATAAAGTAAAACAGAAAATGAGATACTCGTTCGTGAAGTGCCTCTGGATTAAGTTTAAAATATCCGTTCCCCACCTCAATCCAATTCCTTTCGATGTGGAAACTACTGGAAACAAGCCAAGAGATGGGGAATATGGACTGACACAAGATAAAGTACAGTAATTGACACCTTGCCCGTATTTAAGTAGGACCAGCTGCACTTACCTGAAAGGAGACTTCCCGTCCGTGGCTGCTCTCTATCCCCCTCCACCTCCTCACTCTGCACCCACATTTGAAGCCTCCCTTTCACAAGCCCAATGCCCCCCTCCCCGCCAGTGCCCTGCAGTGAACAGGGCCACGATTCTGTTGACAAGTGTCACGGCTGACAAGTTAAGCGCACCATCTCAGATTTGCTGGTTCAGTCTGCTTAATGGAAAGGTTGTTCCATTGAGGGGGGTATTTCTAGATGGAAATCAGAAGTCCCGGCATTTGGCAGAGTACCTCGTTTTTCACAGGTGAATCCCTTCAATCTTCCGTCAAGAAAGTAGGGCACCTGGCATCTCATCTCATGCTTTCAAGTGTTCTTCCCCTTAAAATCCCATGTGTTAAGTCCTTATGAAGTTTCCAGTGAAGGCAAACAGCTTTGGTTGAATGTCTGTAACTCCTGGGAAGAAAGCCCAGTCCCACACACACTTCTTCCTACAAGTCACACTGGGCCGTTTTCCCGCTTCTTCCAAAGAACAATTAGATGAACAGGAATCACTAAAGTCAGTTACTGGGAGGTCTACGTGGTGACAAGCTCAGTGGGGAGTACAGGAACTGACATTTGACACAAATTCTTTCAATTAGTCAGTAATTACTGAGCTAAAAACAAGGTGGGGAGGGGCTCTTCCAGAGCCCCAGGAGGCATCCTAACCATAGGAACAGGAAAGGGCCACCCGAGGCGGTGCAGTTAAAGACGCCAAGAATTCACTGCAAACCTCTGCAGTGAGGCTGATGTACAAATCCAGGGGACCAGCATTTCCCAGGCTATACTTTCAACAAGTAACCAAAGTCCTCTGAGTCTCAATTTGCTTACCAGGGAAATGGGTACAAATGTCCCCGCTCTACGGTATTCAGGAAAGTGTTTTTGTTTCTTGAGTTGGGAGTCTCACTCTGTTGCTCAGGCTGGAGGTCAGTGGCACGCTCACAGCCACCACAGCCTCCACCTAGACTCCAGCTACACTCAGGTGATCCTTCTGCCTCAGCCTTCCAAGTAGCGGAACTACAGACATGCACCATGCCCAGCTAGGGAGAGTTCTTGTGAACTGTCATTCCCTATTTAAGTGCCAGTGCACACAGGTGTCCTGACTTTGCATCAGGAAACATAAATGGCAAGAACGTTAACCACAGCACATGCAAACTTGCAGAAAACTGAAGGCAGCCTTGTCTCTTTTTTTTTTGAGTTGGAGTCTCACTCTGTCACTCAGACTGGAGTGCGCTACGGCCACTGCAGCCTCGACCTGTTAGGCTCCAGCGATCCTTCCACCTCAGCCTTCCAAGTAGCTGGAACCATAGGAATGTGCCACCACGCCCAGCTAATTTTTTTTTTTTTTTTTTTTTTGAGTCGGAGTCTCACTCGGTCGCCCAGACTAGAGCGCAGTGGCCGCTCCCGGCCACCGCAGCCTCGACCTGCTGGGCTCCGGCGATCCTTCCGCCTCCGCCTTCCGAGTAGCCAGAATTACAGGCACATGCTACCACGCCCAGCTGATTTTTTGATTTATTGTAGAGATGAGGTCTCGCTGCCCAGGCGGGTCTCGAACCCGCGGGCTCAGGCCATCCACTCACCTCAGCCTCCCAAAGGCGCGGGATCACAGGCTGAGCCACCGAGCCCGGCTTAATTTTTTGATTTATTGTAGAGATAAGGTCTCACCATGTTGCTCAGGCTGGTCTCGAACCCCTGAGCTCAGGCAGTCCTCGCACCGCTGCCTCCCTCTCGCCTCCAACTTCAACATAGTTTTTTAAGTTGTAGGGGTGGTTGGCTTCTCTATTAGCCCAAGGAATCATTTTAATATACACAATCTTTGTCAAAACCCTAAAATATACAGCTGATAAAAGCTGAGTCCCTCGGGTTGAGCCAGAGTGGAGAATTTAGAGCCCTAGCCACAAAGCCTTTCCTGAGGCACTAGAGGCAGTAGGTCCAGTGTGGCTACCATGAAATTCTAGGGCTTGGAAACCTGGGGTTGATTCAGTTGCCCTGTCCTGGAAAGATGTCAATATTATCATTAAGCGAAAAAAGAGTTCTGTTAAGGCTCTAAATTAGCAAGAAAAGTACAGTATAGTATAACATAAGTTTTGAAAATGTAAGTATGTACATTTTCAAAACCTATATGTATGCAAAAACAAAGTCTAGAAGCATGTACTCCAACATGTTGATGGTATATCTAGGTGACGTGATGTGAGGTGATTTCCATTCTGATTGGAACTTTCTGCCTTGTGTTTACTTGTGAAATGTCGGTGTCCTACTTTTATCACTAGACTTACTAAACAGTAAACTCAAAAGCATGTGCCTTCAGAAATCGACTCTACCACTCCACACCCACTGGCAGAGGGCAGCTCTCTTGTACCCACCCGCACGCACGGTGGTCCAAAGGTGCTGCCAGCATTGCAAGTCCTTACCTGTGCCTGCGGCATTGACGCTCTGCACCGCCACCTGACTCCATGCCCCAGGAGCTGCCCCGCAGTCCAACACCCGAAGTCCGGGCCGCAGAATCTGGTGCTTCTCATTCATCTCCAGGAGCTTGAAGGCACTTCGACACCGATAACTCTCAACTCTTGCAGCCTTCACAAATGGGTCCTTTAAATGCCGCATCAGCCACAGGTGCTCGGTGCCTGTCCGATTCTTGCAGCGACTCCCCACAGTGTGAAACCTCAGACGCTGAAAGGAAGCGCACGCCAGCTTCGAGTGCCTGGTGAGAGAAAAAGGCAACAAGCAGGTTGGCATCACACAGATCAGCAGGTCACCAGCTTGGAAGGCCCCTTGGTTCAACCCACTCATTTTTAACTGTGGCTCAGAGAGGGAAGTGACCTAACAAGGCTACCACGCCAGAAAACAGGAGCCATGGACTGAATTGAGTCCCCCCAAATTCATGCTCCAGTACCTAAGAGGTGGCTATAGTTGGAAACAGGGTCTTTAAACAGGTAAACAGGTTAAAATAAGGTCATATGGGTGGGCCCTAATCCCATATTACTGGTGTTCTCATAAAGGGAGGAGATTAGGACACACACACATTAGGAAGGACATGGTCATGGAACCACACAGGGAGAAGATGCATCTACAGTCAACGAGAGAGGCCTCAGAAAGACCTGGCCCCACTGACACCCTGACTCAGACGTTCAGTCTCCAGAGCATGAGGGAATCTCTGTTAAGCAGTGCTCTGCGGTACTTTGTTAGAGCAGCCCAAGTACACATAACAGCAGACATTTCTACCCTTCAGTCAAGAAGTAGTGTTTGGCTGCGATCCCGCCAAAGGAGTGGGGTGGAGGTGGGCCGGCAACCCAGCTGCCCTCTGGTGCCGCCAGCCTCAGAACCAGCTTGGCCCAGAACCTGGAGGACCTCGCGGGGCAGCTGCCAGCCGGGCTCCGGGGCATGGGCATGGCACTGAAGCTGCTGCTGGGGGCCAGTGCCGTGGCCTACGGGGTCCGCGAGTCTGTGTTCACAGTGGAAGGTGAGCACCCAACCATCTTCTTCAACCGCATCGGCAGCATGCAGCAGGACACCATCCTGGCTGAAGGGGATCACTTCAGGATCCCCTGGTTCCAGTATCCCGTCATCTACAACGTTCGGGCCCGGCCTCGGAAAATCTCCTCCCCCACAGGCTCTAAGGGCCTGCAGATGGTGAACCTCTCCCTGCCAGTGCTGTCTCAACCCAACGCCCAGGAGCCTCCGAGCATGTACCAGTGCCTTGGGCCAGACTATGAGGAATGCATGTTGCCGTCCCTCGTCAATGAGTTGCTCAGGAGTGTGGTGGCCAGTTCAGTGCCTCCCAGCTGATCACCCAGCAGGCCCAGGTGTCCCTGTTGATCTGATGGGAGCTGATGGAGAGGGCCGAGAACTGCAACCTCATCCTGGACGACGTAGCCATCACAGAGCTGAGCTTTGAGCTTCAGCCAAGAGTACACCGCTGCAGTAGAAGCCAAGCAAGTGGTTCAGCAGGAAGCCTAGCGGGCCCAGTTCTTGGTGGAGAAAGCAAAGCAGGTACAGCAGCAGAAGACTGTACAGGGTGAGGGGGAGGCTGAGGCCCCCAAGATGCTGGGAGAAGCACTAAGCAAGAACCCTAGCTACATCAAACTTCGCAAGATCCGGACAGCCCAAAACATCTCCAAGATGATCACCACATCCCAGAACCAAATCTATCTTACTGCTGGCAACCTTGTGTTAAACCTGCAGGATGAGAGTTTCACCCAGGGTAGTGACAGCCTCATGAAGGGTAAGAAATGAGCCTGGCAACCGGGAGCTCCCCCCTTCCAGCACATCCGCTTCTCCAATTCTTGAGGAGCCAGTAGGGGCACGGCTACCCTGCCACCCAGTGTCCAGGCCCTCGGTCCCCTGCAGCATCCTGGATCAAGGAAGACGGAAGCCCTTATCTGGGGGTCACTTTCCTCCTGTGTCGGCCAGGGGTGTTGGGACTGTGTGTGATTTCTCCATGATTTCCTATCATTGTTCTCTCCCTCGCGGCCAGGAGCAGATAACCACGGACCCAGGAATTCTCAATAAATTTGTATTACTCAAAAAAAAAAAAAAAAGAAGTGGGTTTTTTTTCCCCCCCTGAGGGTTTCTTCTAAGAGAAAAACTCAGCTGGGCGCAGTGGCTCACACCTGTAATCCCAAAAGTATGGGAGGCAGAGGCGAGAAAGAAGAGGACTGCCTGAGTCCAGGGGTTCAAGACTAGCCTGGGCAACTTAGTGAGACCTCGTCTCGACAGTAAATCAAAAAATCAGCCAGGTGGGGTGGTGCGCCTGAGGTTGCAGCTACTTGGAAGGCTGAGGTGGAAGGATCACCAGAGCCCAGCAGGTCGAGGCTGCAATGGCCGGGAGTGTGCCACTGCACTCCAGTCTGGGTGACAGAGTGAGACTCCAACTCAAAAGAAGAAAAGAAAAACTCAGTATCAGTGATAGTCACCCTGTTTATATCAACCAAAACCTTACTAGGACTGGTGAACAGCACTGATAGCTCCATGGTTCCAGCAACTAGCCCAGGGCGTGGCCTATCACATTTCTAGATAAAACTGGATCTCAGCCTGTGTGAATGACTGAAGGACAATTTCCAAGATTCTTTGACACAACGTGCTTTAACAGTTCGTGGACAGCCCGCGGTAGCTGGGCAGGCAGGAGCTGCACATACCACCCCTTAATGGTCTCGCGGGACAACCTTCAAAGTAAGTTCTGTGTCCGCTTTGGAGAGGAAAAGGCTCCGGCCCCGGGGCTCCAAAGCCCAGGCTCCAACCCCAAGACGCGATCACGAGGTGTGAAGACACTACTGGTGACGCACGAGTCGCTCTTCCCAGATGGCTTCAGAGATCTGGTGGGGAAGTGGCACAAGCTGCCCTCGGGAGCAGAACCAGCGACAGTCGTCCAGGAAGGGGTGGCCGGTGGTGTCGCGCAGGCCGGCCAGGTGCACCCTTCGCCCACGCCCCCGAGCCCACCTGATCCGGCCGCCGGCCGCTCAGCCCCTCCTACTCCCCGGAGGCCGGTCACGTCCTCAAGCCGCGTCCCTCCGCCGGCAGCCCCCGGGGAGCCCGCCCGACAGCGGGCGGGGCCCCGCCCGTCGCCCTCAGCACTGGCTCGGGGATCGCGGCCGAGCCGGGACGTCGGTGGCACCAGCGCCCCTTTCCGGACGGCGAGACCGGGGCTGCCCCAACCACGTCCGCCTCCCCGCACGCACTCAGCGGCGCCACCTCAGCGCGCGGGCCGACCGCGCCGCCGGCTCACCAGGCCATGGCGCCCGCGGGGC